GAAAAGTGGTGTTAAGTGAAAAGGTGTAAGTACACTCTAGTTCGCTGCGGACGGTTGGGCGTGTCAGGCAGTATGAGTGTGTCACCCTGTCAGAGCGTCTCTGCCTTCTTGTTGAAGCGCGCATGCGACAAAAAGTGGTAGAAAACGAGTAATACGAACGATATGATACAGTCATATCACTTGCTCGCTTTAACAACTGGTGGAGAACGGGTTTGGCACCGCGCCAAACTCATCCCGCCTGACACGCCCAACCATCCGCAGCGAACTATGTATACTATATGTACATTCGTTAGGCCTGAGTTGAAATTTAGGCGTGAGGCTAGGTAGTTTCTTGCGGTACGCAATAACACCAGCGACTGGTGGTTTTACGTAACGCTCCTTTCAACAAGAAAGCGTTTTGGACAACGTAAGTCTCTAGGAGGCTCGATTACGGATGATCCTGGATGTTCCTTCCCTATATGATGTGTGCCTACGGTTAGAGGAAAGTCATGTGAGTTCCATATTCGGTGCTATTCCATACCCGACAGATGGTTGATGTTTTAGGATTCAGCCGATTTCCAAGACTGCATTGATGCTGTAAAAAATAATGACATATCCGTGAAGAAATTGGCTATTCAGATTGTACTCAGGTGATTTCGTTCATGAGCTTGAGCCAGCGGTCATGACGTTGTGTTACTCGCATAGCCCGCGCTACCCAAAGCAAAGTTTCTCGACAACCCATTTTTGAATTTTGGGCCGCTCTACCAACGTCTAGAATCAGTGGTGTACATGCTTATTTAGGTTTTTCGACGACTTTCCGGATAAGAGAGCGGCTGCTCTGAATACATTAATGTCGCAGTTGAGGAATCCAGACGTTGAGGTACACATTAAGAGGTCTTTATCACGTAGTTCGTCATTATTACATTATTGCATACCCTTCTAATAGTCTAGCACGAGCTCGATCTCCGTAGCATTCAGTTTTTTTCCTTTAGCGATTAAAACTCAGCATCTAGCCCCAGTTGCACCATATTGGCTTAGTTGGTTAATGAGTAATCTGCTTTATTTATTTCTAGTTGCACTATTACAGTGTAGAATAAATAAATAATAAATTACTATCTCAGTATATCAACAAGTTTCTTGTTGAAATCTGGCCTGCAAGGCGTGTTCACTGCCCTAATTACAAAACATTAGTTTTTGGCGCCTGCGCCACAAACTTCAGGCAGCGTTCAGACTTCACAGTGGCAGCGCTTCAGGTCGCGCGTTAGACGATGCAGTCGAAAGCATGCGCATCGATCGTCGAATCGCGCGAACGAAGCGCTGCAGTCGCGAAGTCTAAACGCTGCCTCAGGCGCTTTAGTGATATCATTTTGCATCCTTATTTCGGAGACGGTATTTATCTTTGCCGTAGTGTAGGAGTGAAGGAGACGTTTTGCGTAAAATGGGCGCCTTTGGCGAAAAAATGAAATGGTGCGGGAGTCAAAATCTCTTGTGATGTGCTCTGCTTATATGGGTTATTCAATTCTCTAGTCATTTGACTAACCGACTTTCAGCGACTTTTTTTGAGATCTTGGACTAGTAACAGTGAATGATGCTGTTGGCTTACGAATCATGGCGTTTCTCCTAATCTGAAATCTTCTGTGGTCATTATTCCTTTTATCAATGCTTCATTACTGTTCGATAGAGACTTCTGTTCTTGTCACAATGTTTGTTGTTTCGCGGGAATCCTCATTTTATTGATGTTTATGACGAGCATTTTCAACGCTGCTTTTTTGCGTTAGGGACAAATTGTACAGTCACCTGTGGATCCTGTTCTTTCCCTTGTGTGGGGAATGGGAATGCAGCTAATGCACTGCTATGCCCCACGCCAGCCACAAGCCTAACCATGAGAAACGCGCCACTTGTCCGGCCTTTTTCTTTCTCTACCACTGCGTAAATCTTTCGCTGCGGAACCTTGGCTGCATCTTGAAGATAGCGCGCGCGGAGTATATAGGCGACACTCGGGTACCACCACCGTCTTTTTTCGTTCCCGTGCCTTTTTAGTGAAGAAAACGTCACGCTACTGTAGCTGCGAACCCATTTTCCTTGCACATGGCAAAGATCCTTCTCGTGGGTGACCGTACACTTTGTCTTCGACCTGAAATGCTAAAGACGCAAAGCTGTTCCGAAGATTCTTGGTGTATTTTCAAGACCAAATGCTTCATGCGGTAGCCACGAACCGGTTTGCATTGAAAAATGGCAATTTCTTTTTTTAAATGTGCATCGCGCCGTAGAACCCGTGGACATCGACGAGAAACCCATGCACAGGACCTCTTCGAATCGTTCCTATTGTGTGGAGTTGACGCTAAATGCTGCTATTTATGCACCCCTGGAATATCCTCTCATTATTTGTTGTGGATATTAGTGGATAATCTGAATCAATCTCCTTGTACAACCCAACTGGACCATCGGTACATACATATCTACTAGTTCGGCATTGTCATTTTCAAAAGACCAAGATCACTTTCCAGCCATTCTGGTAGAAATCGGTTCCCAGTCATATTTCTCATTTGAGCTTATTCGGCCTACGCATCTCGATTGAAAGAATATGTGAAAATTCTCATTTCTTGAACCTGAGTCTGTATTTCACTTGTCAAAGTTGGATAATTAAAGACACTCCCTTATAGAGTAAGAAATTCTCTATTGAATAGTTAAGACTCATCGCTAAAACAATCCATCGTTCATGGAAAGCTTTCAGTCATGAGCGTCTTTACTTACGGCCAACCCATTAAAAAGTTGTTGCTTACTTGTGCTTTACCGTTTCACCTTTACAGGTGCAAAAACTCGTCATCAAAGGTCTCCCTTCAACATGTTCGCGCCATGAAGATTACGTTGATCAGGTATTTCAAATAGGATTGTTCTCTGAAAAACTCAATATTCTCATCCCGATTGAATGATAACAGGGAGGAGCTCTTAAGTTGTCTTCATGAACTGAAGCTTGTTTCTTTCTATGCGGTGTTCTTTTGACCGGATCAGCAACTGATTTGCTACACTATAAATACCTTTTTATCATACCGATCGTGTAGCTCTTGGTTATAGGTTGGTGATGTTCTCGCTCAGCTGCTGAGTATTCGTGATAGTCAAGAGTTGCTGTTAGTAAGGAAATCACTGAATTCCATATTAGAGAAATATCCCAAAGGTAAGCCTACTTTGGCATCTGTATTTTCCAATAAGATTGCTCGCAGATAGTCTGTGAGAGCGCGTTCAGACTTCGCGATCGCGCGATCGGATCGCTTGGATCACGCGTCCGAATCGCGCTACTGAGGGTGAATTACTGCCGGAGAGGGGTTAGTGCCTATCACCCCGTCGGTGCCCGGCATGTCGGAGCGTCTCCTTCTGATGACAATGGCCGCTCGCCGATTTCATGCGGATGTTGCGGCACGTGGCTAAGCCGTTTAAGATCGTTGACTACAACTGATTTCAAAGAGAATCTTCTGCATCACCAAGAAACTGAAAAAGCAGCGTTTGTTCTGTCTTAGGCGCGGGGAGAAGCAGCAGCAGGCCCCCCGCTCTCGAAGGAGGACATGCGACTTAGCAGCGATGCCTCTGTAACGGTTATAGCTACACGGAATAGTGCAGCTTCGTTTGAACCAGCACTGAAGGAACTCTATTAAATTTAGCAATTGTTGTCTAAAGCGAGCTTGACTTAATGGAATGCACTACCCACTCAGCGTGAGAACCTTTAAATGCCTCAATCGAAGTTGCTGATTGGAAGATAACTGTCCATGTAATGATAAGTTAGTTGCTGTGTCCTTAAGTTCTGTAAACAAACAATGCTTTTGCGAACAGAGCTGCTTGCGGTCGTAACGATGTCTTTTAATAAGCAGTGAGGATGAGTTCTGTTGGTCATGAGATCGTACCTTATACTTGCAGTCATATCAATGCGTTTGTTGTTGTGAGCGGTTGATAGCGGATTTTCCATGCTTACTTGATCATTTCAGCTCCTTCACTTTCCGTAGCACCAATAACATACGTCCCGGTACCACTAATTCTTTCATCTAGGTATCGCCTCTCGGATAGAGGTCCCATCGTGCTCGTAACTGCGTTACGATATCTGTACCCATCCCCTTCGAGGGCCTTACGTTCTCTCTCAACTGTTTATCACTTATGTCGCAGAGCCATATGTGTCCGTCCACACCCTATATAACGGATTCTGGTAACACTGTTGCTGCTAACCTTTGCGCCAGCTTGATGCCTTTTCTCTTACCGACGGACACCATATCGGGTATTATCACTGTTATCAGGCTTCTGCCAGCCCCACAGGATATCCAGTACTTGATCATCATGGTCCCGCCGTTGCTGCAACTTGCCACGAATTCGGTCACCCTCCCTTTTAAGGCCCCTTATCGAATCTTATCAAGTGTTATCACCTCCTGTCACCCACAAAAGTGTATTCCTGTCTGCCATGTATAATTCTTGAAATCTAAGTCCCGGCAGGTGCTGCAACTTGGCGCTACGATTTCGGTCACCCTCCCTTTCTAAGGCTCCTTATCGAATCTTATCAAGTGTCATCACCTCCTGTCACCCATCAAAAGTGTTCCCGTCCTGCCATGTATATCACTCCTTGAAATCACGGTCCCACACCTGCTGCAACTTGCGCTACGAATTCAGTCACCCTCCCCTTCTACGGCCCCTTATCGTATCTTATCAAGTGTTATCACCTCCTGACACCCACCAAAAGTGTTCCCGTCCTGCCATGTATATCACTTCTTGGAACTGTCATCCTATCTTTTTTGCCGGCCGATCGCCTATATTTTCCGTGGACACTAAACACACACAACACAAACAACCACAAACACCAGCCCACAGCATGTAGCGGTGTATATATAGTAGGAGTATGTTATTGATCATGTTCTTTTTCTTTTCTTCCTCTTATTTGTGTTAATTTAGAGACGCCTTCCTAATTTTAAAGGAATGTTCCCAAATATCTTTGAGTTGTGTTTTTTTTTGTATCCCATTTTATTTTCAGGTTCGAATTGTACAAGGTCGTGAATGCTGTTTCTATGCTCAAATGAAGAAATCATCTAGTGTAGTCTCGCCTTCTTTTTGCTATTTTGGGCATTCTTTTAATCTCGTATGGGACTTCTTCTTGTTCCGCAGTTTTAGGAAAATAAAAATTTTTTTATGTTGTTATGTTTAGTTTTATTTTTATGCTTATAGAACGAGAACAGAAATATAAATTTCTAAGATGCGAACAGAGAGTTCCTTACGAGATAAAAGAATGACCAAAAGCAAAAGAAGAGACGACGAGCATGTTTTCATGGTTGAGCAAGAAAACAGCATTCACGACCTTAGTCAATCTCGAACCTGAAATAAATGGGAATACAAAAAAAAAATCTCAAGATAATTTGGGCCATTCTTTAATAATTAGGAAAGGGCGTCAATGAACACGAAATCGAAGAAGGAAGGAACAAAGAATGAGGCAATGTATCAATAAATATGTACGCACCATCACCCATCCCGACCCAGTAATTCACCCTCCAGTAGCGCGATCCGGCAATCACCGTGCGATCAGATCGCCGCGATTCGATCACCGCGATCGATACGCGCGATCCAGCGATCCGATTCGCGCAGATCGCGAAGTCTGAGCGCTTGCATTGAACTCTGCACATTTACGATTCATTTGAAATTGGGAGTAAGATTCGGCAATCCATGATCTGAGGATACTTGGGATGAAAGGGATGGAGCAGCATCATCTGGTAGAAAAAATTTTTTTCGCACTTATTGCAAATGACAAAGCCGTCATCAAGGCGGAAAGCATTGATGAGAATCAGACGACTTACGGCGGTACTTCGATGGACGAAAGTCATCACGCTATTAATGTGCGAATGACACGTTATTGAAGCGGCAATTGTGAGACTTACGCCGCGTGTTCGTTTTTTAATCATTTCAGTTTCTTCGGCCATTTTTTTTTTTTTTTATCACGACGAAGGGGAACTTCGATTTCCATATTTGTTGCAAGGTGTTTTGTGCCATATAGTTTGTGTGTTAACTGGACCACATCAGTCTGCAATTCCCATAATTCCAAAATTAACTATTTAAGCTATTCAAGTATTATGACTAGAGGATGGGCTCTAATTCCACGAAGCTTGTTTCAGATGTTGGTCTCTCTCAACACCTGATGAAATCGAGGTGATACTTCGATTCATTGGGGAGTCTCGTCAAATAACTGGATTGGAGAAGCAGATCACTTTCAAGGCTGCACTGAATTGCCTAGTTGACGCAGGAGTAGACTTGGATAAGGTTGACGTCTCTTATTCTCTTCCATGCCACGGCACTGCCTCACAGTTTTCTACTCATATAACTTGGGGTTTTCCTTTTGGTCTGATCTTGCAAGCTAATTAGGTAGCAAGTTTTACAGGAGAATGATGTTGGAGAATCATAGCGAACTCCACAAAGTAATTAGTAATGTTGTGAAAATTGTCCTGATTCTACGTGTGAGTGTGCTTCTTTTTACGACCGCTTCTGAATCGTCTAGAAAAGAACGCAGTTATTTGTTTCAGTCAGTTGATCGGTCTTACATTATGCCCAGAAAGATGACAAATTATATATTTTCCAAATTCGATAAGCTTCATAGATTTCATTCTTCTGATCGAAAGGACATTCTGAAGGTATGCGAGTAATGTTATGTTCAGTTGCCTAACTATGACGAACTGAGGCTAGCTGCAGTGTTCACGAATTGCTTGAAATTTTCAAATTTTTTTGATTTCATTTTATTTTTGCATTTATTCAGCCTTCGTATAGTCTGTGTGGTGGTCTGTTCAAAGCGCGTTCAAACTTCGCGATCACGCGATCCAGTCGAGCGATCCGAGGGCCGGAGGCGCTCCACCTGCACCGCCGCAGTCCCACAATTTAAACTGGCGCTGTGGCCCAATATGAATACTGCAGTTGCGTGGGTGCACTGTTTGGCGATGAAGTGTTCCAGTCAGGATCGCTCGACTGGATCGCGTGATCCATCGCGCAGTCGCGAAGTATTAATGCGTCTTACGTAGCGTTCATACTTCGCGATGGCAGCGCTTCGGTCGCGCATTCGATCGATGCAGTCGAAAGCATGCGCATCGATCGTCGAATCGCGCGACCGAAGCGCTGCTGTCGCGAAGTCTGAACGCTGCCTTAATGGCATGCTATGTGCGATTTTCTGCTAGATGGGTCCTTTCTATGTGCAAAGGGGCAGTTCTGTAGAGCTGTTGCATTCTCGCCGTTTGGATGTGAAATGAAGCTGGATGATGGTTACAGCTGAACATTGTTTGAGTCTCCGCTTGTGTTTCCTGTGGTGTCTGATCTGCCTCCCCGTCATGTTGCCAACACGTTTCTCTTCGAGGGAAATCCCCCAGCGAACGTGTTGGTTGCAGCTGGAAAGAAACTTTAGAGTACAATGGCGCTCCAAGGCGTAAGAGGGCGCCGGCAAGTGTGGTATAATGGATATGATTGAGCAAGCGTGCCTACGGCGTTGCGTACAGTGTAGTTCGCTGCGGACGGTTGGGCGTGTCAGGCGGGATGAGTTTGGCACGGTGCCAAACCCGTTCTCCACCAGCTGTTAAAGCGAGCAAGTGACAAGACTGTATCATGTCGTTCGTATCACTCGTTTCCCAACAACTGTTGTCGCGTAACTGCTTCAACAACTGGCAGAGAACGGGTTTTTCACCGTGGCACACTCATACTGCCTGACACGCCCCACCGTCCGCGTTGAACCAGAGTGTATCTGTGGTTTGCTTAGTATTGAATGGCGGGTGGAGACATGGAAAACATTTAGTTATCACAATTTTCCAGCTTTTATTGGCTGTAGTATTTTTCTGCTGTGGACCTGACCTCACAAATTTGGAAAATTCGCCCTTGCAAGTAATTGTACTGTTTGTTGAATGCCAAGGAATGAGATCAGTAATCTTTTGTACAGCCTGGTGTGCAGAGAATCGGTACCAGAGGAAAGAATGATTGAAGAATACGAATGCATAGATACTATAGGGGACTATAGGATAGTGGCGCCTAGCATAAAAAGCAATGAGCATATGACTCCCATATCTGTTTGTAATCGCAAAAGTCCATGCTACATTGCAAGTCGTTCCGGAGAGTTTTCACTTTTCAGAAACTGTTACAGCAGTGAATGTAAAGTGAATCAGAAATCAGGATGGACTAACTCAGTATTTTTGTTTTGCCTCAGTGAATGTTTTGTTTAGGTGTTGAACGGTATCACATATCTTGGAAATTATGAAGACCCTGAAGATTTCTCGACTGTTATAAAATTGTTTGATTTTTTGAAGGTGGTTAGATTTTTGATAGAATTTTGTTTGTTCAGCTATAAATTGCAGTTAGCAAATCCTTGCTTGCAGTGGGTTTTCATCAACGGTCCTTCTTCTCGTATCATAATTTTTTCAGAATATGCTGCCCGACCCCAGTACCTTTGATGCTGACCTGGAAAGTGGTTACTTAGAGGTGTGTTTCTCTTAGTTTGTATGATTCTGTGCCGAATGTGAGTTTGTTTAAGAGAAACGAGCCGGATTGGAGCACTAAACTCTCTGAAATAGAGCTTGTTTCGCTCGCTGTCTACAACATTCTTCGACGAAGTCGGTCCACTGCAGAAGATATTCTGTCTGCTAGCGATATTTGGAAACCTCGGTAATTCTGAGGAAACGTTAAATTCTTTCCTTCTATTATGTTTTCCCTATAGGTTTCAATATTTCGTGAATGTGATCCGTGTATACACGCAACGTTTGAAGAGGAAATTGGACGAGGAAATCAAGGAAGAGCATAACGCAGACAATTCGAAACTACTGAAAATAGCCAACAATGTTGGGTATGTGGTTTGAATGACACCGTTCTCTAATGAATTTCGCCGCTACTAACAGCATATGTCATTTTATGTGAATCCTGTCAGGGTAGTCAGCGTTAGGCCGCGTTCATAGCTTGCGACCATGAAGAAATGCAGAAGTGCGGAAAGTGCAGAAATGACGAAAAGCAATTACATACGTATCGACTTTCCCGCACTTTCGGCATTTAATGGCCGTATGCTATACTCCCCCTCGAGGGGAGGGATCCCCTTCCCTGTATGCTACACTTCCCCCGAAGGCTTTGGGGGAGAGGCCACGCCTACCAAATTAGGGGGAGAGCTCCCCCAACAACACGTGTTGGGGAAGATATCCCCTGGAACAGTTTTTTAGCTTATTTCCCATTTGTTTTGAACTTTTCTTATTTCTTCATGTTACAGAAACACTCCTAACCACTCTACCGATTTTTTTTCATCTCATTACTTTTTACACAGTGTTTGGAGAGCTATTCTATGCTATTGTCTGACCGCACTTTTACATTTCCAAAAATGATCACTTCTTCTTTCTTAGTCTATTATAGGAATCTATTATGCTTTTTATTCAATCGTGATGGTTGCTTTTCAGTCTTAGTAATATACTATTTTTTATATTATCTATGATAAACCTAAACATATAATACTTTATATATTGACATATCTCTACACATTATTATTATATATATATTATGTATATATACAGGGGGGCCAAAAAAAAGTCATTTCGGCCGAGCCACATATCAACGAAGTTTTCGCAGCCCAGACAGGGGAAGTGGATATGAGTACCAGAGTGGAAGATACCCAAGATCTTCCTCTATAAGCTGGAGCACGCTGCCGCCAATCGCCTTCATGTACGCCAAAATATGAAGTCATCTCCAGTCGCGGCCTGACTGGAGAACACCTTTGGAATTCACGTCGCCTCCAAACAGCTGCGAAACTTCTTGAATGAAGTCATCCACAGATAGCTACCTGGAGGTCAGTACTCTTGATCTGCAAGACCTCCCACATCGACCAGCTACGGCAACGTCGCTACGGTCTAGGACATCATCTTCACCGTATTCGCCGAGGCGCGAGTTGATGGTATGGACCGGGGTACCTGGAAAGGGGAAGACCGATATTTTCTTTGTAGACCCCGACTGAAGGTGAGTGCGCTGGCGTTTACATCAAGCAACTCGAGAGAAGAAAATATCCTCCCAATGTTGTCGCTCCTAAACCTTGCTTGGAGACCGGTACTGCTACAGGTTTTGGTGCCACCACATGGAATCGAAGGGTTTTGGAAAAACTCTCTCCTACTTCGAATGAAAGGGCGCTTCGTACCTGAAGAAGATGCAATATTGAAGTATGCCCCTGACCTGAATCCCCTCAATTACCTGGTTCGAGGCGGAGTTCGATAGGGTGGTCTACGGTGGCGGAGAAATCGACTACCTCGCTCAAACTCCGGTACCCACCACTTTCGCGCGGCCGAATCTCTCGATGGCGCTCCTCCAGAAGGCTGTGGCGGAGTATCATTATAGTATTAATGTGCTCTTTAATATGGTAGTAAAAATGTCCGATAAAAATTTAATAAAGTGTAACTTATAGCGCCTTGAAAGTCATGGAGGCAAAATGACTTTTTTTTGCCCCCCCCCCCTGTATATAAAATAATAATGAAAGTCCTGTATTAACAAGCAAGCAATTAATAAATATGTTGTTATAGTTGCGCCAGCGGATGCTATGCCAACACCATGCCGAGGTCGCCAACTTTGAAAAAAAATTTCAAAGCACGCCTGTTCGAACTTGTACCTTTGTTCTTGCGCTCCATTTCATTACAACAGCCCGGAGGTAAATTCAAAAAGCTCATTCTACTACGGTGAGCATCGTTACAACGATGAACTTCATTCATTGTAGTACAATATTGGAGTCATTCGTGATGACCAATAACTAATAAGTTATCGAGTAGCAGTTAAGAGAATCCGTTCAACTAATTCTTACTGGTTTCACAAAGTCTGAAACAAATCTGGATGTACTAAATAAGGTAGAGAACTCATTTTAGGGAACTTCGCACTAACCGTCGCACTATTCTCTTCCTGAGCTCCTCTAAGTCAAAGACTATTACTAGATGATCCTAGTATGTACTGTCACTCTGAATCACCTGTGGCAACGGGCTCGCAAAATAGAGCTCCGCAATGAAAAGGATTCAAGCACATTACACAAATATTACATATTACATTAATTACACACAATACAAATACATTTCTATGTATGTTATATGTTGTTGCATTGCCCATACTGAAAATGAGTGCGCGTTCGGAGAGCGGAGGACATAATGATAGAGACAGGGCCACTATGACAGTGAATAACATGTCGTTTCTTACGCTATGTGGGACAGATTCAGCCACCCTTTAATCAAGAGATTTCCTACATTTCGAACATTTAGAAATGAAACTGAGAAAGTATTTTGTTGAACGCGGATTCAAGAATGTTGAAAAAATTAATGTGGTCACCCCTATGACCTTGATTAATACACAATTCAGCCTGAAAATAGCTTTATAATAGCAGGGCAAATGATTGCAATTGATAATCATCACTTCTAGCTTGAGATTCTCCGAAATGTCACAGTGCAAAGCCAGAGGCTGCATGTACGGACGACCCTTCCCAAAAAAAAAAAAAATTTGCGCCAGCCAACTCTGCGTCTCTACCGCTTCGGGGATCCCCTCGAGTGTAGCATACGGCCGCTCTGGGGGACGTCCCCCTGGGGTGTCTTCCCCTAGAGGGGACCCCTCCCCTCGAGGGTGAGTATAGCATACGGCCCCTCTGCAGATTCCGCACTTCACTTTCGGCATTTCTGCATTTCTTCAAATCGATACGTATGTAATGCTTTTCGTCATTTCTGCACTTTCCGCACGTCTGCAGTTTCGGCATTTCTGCATTTCTTCATCGATACGTATCTATTGCTTTTCGTCATTTCTGCAGATTCCGCATTTCCGCACTTCTGCAGTTTCCGCATTTCTTCATGGTCGCAAGCCTGATGAAACCCCGCCTTAAGAGGCGCGTCAGACTTTGGGGCGAATCGCGCGATCCGGATCGCGTGATTTGATCGCGGCGATCGCGCGATCGCTGTGATCGCGTGATTTGGATCGCGCGATCGCTGTGATCGCGTGATTTGGATCGCGCGATCGCTGTGATCGCGCGATCTGGATCGCGCGATCGCGCTACTGTGGGTGAAATTACACCGGGAGGGGTCATGTTCGTTCATGTTTATTGTTCCTGTTCTTTTTTTCCTTTTCCTTCTTTCTTCCTTTGTGTACATAACGCCCTCCTAATTTTAAGGAACGTTTCGAAATATCTTTGAGTTATTTATTATTTCCTATGTAAAATAGTACTAAATATACAATATGCTAATTATTATACTGAATTTTGCATCTGAGTACGTTCAAGCGGAGTATTGAACATCTTGTTCCAAAAGTAAGACACGCAGAACTTTCAACAGCGGGTGATGTTGTTTCTCTCCCTTCCCCCGATTTTGCCAGTTCTCCAGATATTCACTTTACTTTTGTCACATTGTGTTTGCTTTGTTTGTTCTGCCATCCTCCAGGTCTATACACAACCTTTCCTTTCAACGGTTTCTGCAAACGTCAGTATTGCGAATATGAACACGGAATAAAAGACATCAAAAAAGGTCGAACTACTTTTATATCGTTTTTGGAACTGCCTATTGGAGGCAGGATACAGCATCGTGATGTGAGAAATGGTGATATTAGTACGACTCCCTTCCCAGAACTTTGTTGTTGTTGTTTGTTGAGTTGAGTTGAACATGAACGAACTATGACCCCCTCCGCGGTGTAATTTCACCCACAGTAGCGCGATCGCGCGATCCAGATCGCGCGATCACAGCGATCGCGCGATCCAAATCACGCGATCCGGATCGCGCGATCGCGAAGTCTGAACGCGCTCTTAGGGTTTTTTTTGATCGTTGGTCACTCCAATTTCTGGTGCACATATAATCCAGGGGCCGGCGGCGCACCGAAAACTGCTATTTCTGGTGCGTTTATCGCTGCCCGCTAGCAAAATTCTGGAAAATTTTCGGGGGGGGGGGACGCGAGTGTCGGGGTCGTAGCTTCGAATTGGCGCCAATCCCTCACGTCAAACCTACGCAAATTCCTTTGTTTCTTTATTAATATGACAGTTCCAGTCTGATTGCAAATTCCTTCCTCGTCAACATTTGCGATTTACATGCGAACGTCTCACCGTCATGGGTTGTTCAAAAAAGAAGGGGTTCGTTTCCGATTTTTTTTGCCTACCTATGTTTTCCTTGAACAGAATACTTTTCTGCGAATTGCGATAGAATCTGACTTGTGATGTTAGTAAAGCGACTGACCAACTGTATTGCTGCTTTTTCTAGCTCTACCGAATCGAGTCGGCATGAAACGCAAACGAAGAAAACGGGACTGCATGTAATGTCTCGTGATCTCTCATCCGAGGTTCTTCTTGATTATCTCAGCTGATCTAGTTCTCTATTACTGGTTCTCACCACGAGCAATATTGCTTTTTTTTGGAAAGGAAATTAGATTTCCTGTGTAGGGCATAATTTTTGCTTCAATTGCCTAAGAGTGCATTTACTCCGTGAATCGCTCGTTCCGATTGCGCGGCCAAATCGCATGCACATTTGGAGCAACCAAACCGTAAAGCATGAAGCATTCCGATTTTCGACTATTAACGGGTTTGTTCCTCCCGAAGTGTTCTTTTTCGCTTAAGGTTCTGTTTATTTGTCCCTCCAAGAGGGAACTATTCTAGTTTCAATATCTCTATGAGTTAGTAGTGCCGTGGTCTCTCGGGTCGAGATCATACTAGCGATGGAGATTTTGTTTGTTGAGGCGGATTGGAACTTCGAAAAAACGCAGATACCACTTCGAGACAAAAGCGGCGACTGTGAGGCTGCGTTTATACTTTATGACTCAGCGTTTTGGGAGAATCAACTTTTTGAGGGAACCGGCATTCTGAGCAAAAAAAGCATAGATATCGATAGGC